GGGGGGGGGGGGGGGGGGGTGGGGGGAAGAAGACTGAACAACTACAACTCCTTGAAGTTGATACGACAAGCAAACAGAAAGGACATTGTTGGGTGGGAGGGGCGAGAGGGAGGAGGGAGGGGGGTTTCGGTGATGGGCCACAATAATCAACCACATTGTATAGCGACAAAATAAAATTAAGAAAGAAAAAATAAATAAATAAAAATAAAAAAATAAAAGAAGCAGAAGGGTTGGGAAATGAGTCCAGCTGCACTGAGCTCCATGCGGTGCCCTGCAGGGCTCCCGCGCCCTGCCCTGCCTTCCCACCACACGCCCCGGCTAGGCGTGAGGCCCACGGTGCAAGGACCACTTCCAGGTCAAAGCAGAAGTGATCCCCGTACTGTGACCCCGTGACCCCGGAGCTGCTGCCCCGGGGCTTGCCGGGAGCCGGCGGGCTGCGCTTCTGCCCTGCAGGGAGGGGCCGGGCGCCCCGCTGCTCTCCGAGGCTCACGGGCCGGCCCGGTGGGGTGGTTTTCCGTTACTTTGGGGGCTTCGCTGGCTTTTAAATGCATGTTAGAAATCCTGACAGCACCTCCTCTTCCGTCAGAGTTCCAGAGCGGAAGTCGCCCTAGAGTTTGCACGGCTCCCCACCGAGGGGGAGGAAGGGGCCGATCTCGGGGCCTGTCTGGGGCCCAGCAACCCTCCCGCTCGGAAGGTCCTTCCATCCTGCCGTCGGTTTCACGGAGCTCAGAGGTGGGTTGTCTCGTCATCCGTGGTGAAGTTTACGGGTGCGAAGTTGAGGCACACAGGGCGAGGTTGCCACGGCAGAGAACTTAAGAAAAGCTTATCAAGGGATAATGGAGAAGCAGGCAGGGCGGTGTCTAGGTCCCTAAGGCTCTGTTTCTGGCCTCCCCGGTCCTTAGCTCCTAGCTCGCCCGCTGCTGCTCCTAGCAGGCAGGTGTTCCCCAGCTACACTTCATCCTTACTCACTTCGTTGGGAGCTTGTGAAACACTTGGATGCACAGCTCCTTTGCACCTTTCTTTCTGGACCAAGCAACGGTCACACATCTACACCCAAGCACTAACTTTGCTATAAGAGAAGAAAGAAAGATCTGCGAGATCATGCTGGAGCCCTTAATCATAAGGCACGGCCCTGTCCCTGCCACTTGCCCCAGTCGGGGAGGCCTGTCCGCATGGAGGATCTGAAGAGAAGGGCCCTTCTGGTTGTCCCCCACACCACCTCCTCCTGGGATCCTAACAGTACTGATTCATTCATTCCTTGAGGTGAAGCCTCAAGGAATGTTCAACCTTCTACTCTTTTACCTTAACTCTGGTTACACTCCCTCAAAGTCATGGAGAGAAAAATGCCCTCCACTTGGCCTAGAGGCTGTGGAAGGAGATCTGAAAGGGAGTCCTGCTCAGAGTCTTTAACTTAACTGGACAGGGAAGGCATTTCTAGGATGGCAGCACCCTTCTATAAATGGACACACTGTTTCCTCTGGAGCTACTGAGAGGCCATTTTGCTGGAGGTGAGGAAGAACAGGGGTGGGGAGAAGGTGCTGTATGTCAGAGAACTCTTCTCTGAGTGTGTGCATGGGGAGATGGAGCAGGCCCTCCCCTTCTCCTTTACCTCCTTGCTTGGTGCAGGCTCCCAGCAGGTTAACCACGTTCAGATGGTGGCCAATGTGGGTCAAGATCTTGAGCTCAGTCATCAGAGCTTTGTACTCACTGGCTGTGGCCCCCTCTGTGTGAGAAGCAAGGAAGAGTCAGGGCGACAGGACAATGGGGTTCCTTCCGCCGGAGGCAGCATTCCTGCCCTCCTTGTTTGTCAGTGCTCAGCCGGTTGCTTCATTAACTTCCCCACATTCTGCAGAAAGGCCAAGTCTCCAGACTGTTTTCATTTCTCCCATCCTCCTGAGCCAACATCCTTTTGATTACAGTAAGGCCCAGCGCGGTGTGGGGTTAGTCACTGGACATTTCCTCTTGGTGGACTTAGTTCTGTTCAGCAATGCGCTGACTCAGAGCTGGGCACCCTGCTAAAGTGCCTTCAGAAGGCTTCTCTTATGTCAGAACCAGCTGCAGCAGGAACGGTTCAGGCAGGGGTGTGCCCGCCCCCTCCCCCCGTTTTTCTCACTCTCCTCCTTTGGGGAGTCACAAGAAGCAGCACAAGGAGCCTACAAGGGCAGAATGGCCACTTCTGTAAACATTTTTGCAATGTGTTATCTTCTCCCTATAACCTTTTCCTCCCTGGAGTTCACAGGGTTATCAATGGTTGTGAGGATCCATAGCATCTGACTTCAACTTCATTCTCAGAGATAAGCCATATCGGTCCAAGAAGTAGTGGAGTTTAAAGCCTCAATTGAGTTTGTACTGCCTGTTCTTATTGGTTAATTTCTAAGGCATTTACAAATTTCTAAATTATTTTTAGAAATATAAAAGTCATCTTGTAAAATATTCTAACAGTATGAGTTTGAGTGAAAAGATATGGAGTAAAAGGATCTAGAATAAAAAGTGAAAGCTGGGCCGGCCCGGTGGCGCACTGCTACAGTGCGCTGCTTGGGAAGCGCGGCGGCGCTCCCGCCGAGGGTTCGGATCCCACATACAGACCGGCCGCTCACTGGCTGAGCGAGGTGTGGGAGCAACACCGAGGGTTGCGATCCCGTAGCCGGTCCCGGTCCGGTACGGGCGCGACACTGAGGGTCGCGATCCGTTGCCGGTCACAAAAAAAGACAAAAAAAAAAAGTGAAAGCTGCTCCAACCCACTTACCTTCCTGGAAGGAGCCATTGTTAATAGTTTGGGATTCAGACCTTTTTCTATGATTTATAAATATATATACCCAATCAAAGGTTTTTTTTTTTTTGAGGGTTTACATAAGTGGGATCATATATATTACATGTGTATGTATTTTTAAAATGTTTTCCCCCTTTTTCAATGTGTCAGAGACTTTTTCTGTTCTTTTTAATTGATTAATTGTATTTCTTACATTTAGACTGTCCACAGTTTGTTTGTTTTTTTTCTTTTGCTATTACAAATAATGCTATAATAGACAGCATGTGTATAATCTTTGTGCACTCGTGCAAGTATTTCTGTAGGACAGAGCCCTGGAAGTGGGTCAAAGGTATGTGCATTTAACATTGTGGTAGGTACCAACATAGTCTTAAATAAGCGCAAATCATTTTTTAGTAATAACCACATAAACTTCTGAAGCCTCCCATTGGAGTTGGGGTTCGCTCACAATAGATGCTCAACAGTTTTTGGATAAATAAACAACATGAGTACTCTCCTTATTTCAGACATAGGTGTAAGGTCCAAAAAGGTTAAAGTTTTTGCTCAGGGACACTTTGAAAGAGTTTTTGACTCATGGCCTTTGTCTGACATTCTGCCATTTCTACTTTTCCTAGAAACAGATGGCCAATCAATTTAAGCAAGAAAGCTGAATGAAAATGGTTTTATAGGAATTTTATAGAGTGGGTAATTTGGCAATCTTTTTCAATCAGTGGTGATGGCTAAAAAAAAAAAAGATATGCATTTATAAAGATATTACATACACGATTTCCATATTATATAAAAAAGAGAATTTCTCTGGGTCTTTAAAGAAACATCTCAAGTCAAAATCTTCTCCTTTCAAACTCATCAGTCCCTGTAAGCATTTATGCCCCTTTGGCACAGAGGAACAAAACAGGCTCTGATGCTCAGACTGTTCCATTTATAGGCAGGGCCACAGGTGTTATCTTGGACCCACAACAGATAGCATGGACATCAGACTTGTGTCTCTTGGAGATGGTGTGCGGCAGTGAGCAGGGAAATGAGACTAGCTGAGGAAACAGATGCCTCCAGATTTGGTTTTGACTTATGTCTAGGTTGGATACTGGATTCTCTCCATAAAGCAGGCCAGGATCATTTACAGAATTTTGGAGCAACAGGCCAATTCCAGGAGGCCACATCTCTGCAGCCCCTCTTTTGTGACACTGTGGTATGGGGGAAAGAGCACTGTACTGAAAGCTGGAAGACTTGCAAACAAACGCTTACTTTTGCATTGTGCAGCTGTGTGGCCTCGCAGATTCTGTCAGAGAACTTTAAAGTTCTTAATCTTCCAGCCCTGACTCCATTATTTCAGAGGCCCATGGAAGGATATTTTCCATCTCAAAAGGCTATCCTCATCAACGAAAGAATGGTAAAAGTTGACCTGCCAGTTTTCTGAATGTAGCCTGGGAAGGAGTTTTGCATCTGCAAGGCTAACCCTTTCTGAGTCCTTTTTCCTCTGCAAGTTGGGGATAACAATATCTACCTCACAAGGCTGTTGAGAAAAAATTAGAAAAATGGCAGTTTTGTGTGGTTCAAGCTAATATATTGAGTATCTAATCTGGTGCTTTCTCACATAGAAGACACATTGATGTCTCTTCTCTTTAGAATCTGGGGTAGGGTGTCAGCATGCAGGTATTCTTACAGAAATGCCTGCCATCATCTGGGTAGTCCACCTGTAACCAAAGTCCTGACTTAAGGATGCAAAACGCCTTCCCAGGCTACTTTCAGAGTAGAACTGGCATGTTCTTTGTTGAGCTTTATCAGTCTTTCCTTGATGAGGACAGCCCTTTGAGATGGAAAATATCTTTACACAGGCCTTTGAAATAATGGAGTCAGTGCTGGAAGATTAGGAACTTTGAAGTCTCCCAAAGCAAATGGCTCTTTCTCCTGGAGCCTGTGCTGTGTACCTGCTTAGTTGGGTGCATAGCTTCCCAGGCCTCAAAATACTTTGGGAAGCTAATAACTGCCCTTTGAGTTTTCAGTCCTGTTTCTTTTTGGTTTTGGAACCTTAAAGTGAATTGAAGTAAATGAAAATTCCATCACAAATGAGGAAATGAGGTATTTTCTACACTTCGAAGAACACCTGAATCTTTGAAACATTTGGTTTACACAGTTTTCACTGATTTTCATTTTCAGTCTGTTTTACGGTGATGTTCATAAATCACTGTGTGATTTAGCTTTACCTCCCAGTGCTTCATAGAGTGGTAGTATCTTTCAACACTAGAAAGATAATTTTTTAAAAAAAATTTCTAAAGAGGAAATGGTTTATGGTTGTGGCTCAACAGTATAAAATAGTTTAGAGTTATGATCAACTAAGCTGTTGTAGCTTCATAGTTTCACTTTATCGTTAGGTCAAGCCCAAGCTAAGCCTTGGGGATTTATGATGTGCAGCTAAGTTTCCATTACAGAGTCATAGTGGAGCATGCCAAAATTTGAACTTGTGGTTGTAATAGGCTTAAGTCCCTGATAGTCTAGAGTCTGAGATGTAAGAGGAGAAAGACCTTTGAGGTGACAGAGATTGTTTTCCCATGGACCATGCTGGATTGTTCCTTTCAGAAGATTTATTCTGAGCTGTGCTGGCCTAACCTAAAACTCCTGGAGCAAAGGGGCTCCTAGCAGTAGAAGAAAGTTATGAGACCAGAGCAGAAATAGCTTGTGTCTCTTTCTAGGCAATATCCAACTTGCACCAACATTTAGGAAACACAAGAAGGTGACGGGTCAGTTGAAAGCCAAACTATAGCATACATACCTTTTAGCATTTTCACAGCCACAGTCCGGCATGTGGGTGATTTCTTAATGCCAAATGCAGATGCTTGAACCACTTTTCCAAAAGCCCCTCTTCCAAGTGATTTTCCTGCAATGAAAAGAAGACATTGGTTTGTTTGCCAAGCCAGCAGGGTGAGTTTAAGTCTTTTTCAGGAAGGAAATGCCTTTTCCTATGTGTGTATCTGAGGCATGTAGTTTGAATGGAATCTCCAATGAACTGACCCCAAAAAAGAGACAAAGTAAGGGACATGTTTTTGGGGTCTCATCCTTCCAACTCTTAACTCTGCTTCTGAGGCCCCCACATCCTTCAGAGCTAGGGTAGGTCCCTGGAAGGCATCCAGTGAAGGTAGATGGCCAGTTTCCTTTTCATAGGGTCCTCCTGGAGGAGAGGTACTACCAATTCCTGGATGGTCTCTTCCATTGTTTAATAACATTATTACCAAGAAGTCTTCCCCGTGTTTAACCTAAGCCCCTTTTCTTGCCACGTAAGGTCATTTCTTCTGATCTGTTTTCAGCACAAAGGGAGAAATAGAGAATAGTGGTTACTGCTATGGGTTATAATAATGCTCCATAACTTAATAATAATCGCTAAGTCATTTCTCAGACTTCCTTGGCAGTCAGAATATTCCCAGTCTTTTTACTACATCTTTATATGATGGTTACAAATCCTCATGGTTCACATGAGCCTGTCAACCACTGGTAGCAATTTGTTTCAACCACAGAGAGGTAGCTGCTAAATGCAGTAATAAAGCAAGATTTCTTTCATGGTACCCATTATGTTCTGCTATAATAACTGTTAACATGTTTCTTTCCCCACCTTCGCATGAGCCAACTTGATTCAGAGGGACATGGACTATGTCTGAATCTTCCCGGTATCTAGTGCCCACTGCCTGGTGTATAGAAAGTCCCCTGTATATTTGTGCAGAATGGAGAGTATCATTTGAGAATTTGTGGGATGCCCATAGCAAGTCTCATACAGTCATAGGCAACTAGAGGGACCCATGGGATGGAGACATTGAGATTGATGTCCATTGGGGAAGGCACTCCCTGGAATTCCTTACTACCTTTTATATATGGGGACCTCTTTTTGCACCATCAGAAAACAGCTAAATAGAACTTAGAGAAACAGTACCTCCAGCATGATATGCCAAAAGAAGAGTGAGCCCAAGAAATCATTCTTTTCTGGCTCTTCTGGGGGGAAAAAATAAACAACAACAAAATGCCACTAGTCAAAAGGAAATCCTGGCAATTAGAGTGTTAATTTAATACAACCCCTCCTTTCTCAACTAAATCCTCTTTTTCAGACTATCCTGATAACATCCCTTCAGTTAATTAACCTTCCTCGCTCTCTTCCTTCCAATCTCTTCCCTCACGGATATTTTTTTGAAGTTTCTTGTAAAGTTTGTAATGAAGCTTTCGTGCTTCCTCATCACATTATAGCCTTTACACTTTTATGCACAACTACTCAGTGACAAAAATATCTGTACCTTGCCTCTGCTTAATATCTTCTACTTCCCACCACCCCATGGGTAAGTTTCAGTTACCAGTGTAATCATTAGGGCCTCCTTGTGGCTGTCCCTCTGCATCTATCTCATAGGGATGCAATCTGCATTAGGAGGGGAGCACATTTTCCTCTGGTCATACATGCATCTGTGGTGACTACTAAATGTTGTCCTCCCAGAGCATGCAACATGGGCAGAGATACAGTCTCTGCTTCTTTCTTCATGTAAAATTGTCCAAGAAATAGGCCAGAATGGGGCCTCGAGTGAAAATAAAAAAGCCTCCAGTGAACCCTGAAAGTGCCACATGTGGAAACCTGGTATGGGAAGAGCACTGGCAGAAGCTGTCTTCAGCCTGGTAGAAACTGGTGCATTTTGGTTGGAGGTTTATTCCTTGCTTTATTTAGGGTGAAAGAACTATGTTTTTCTTCTTCAGTGCCTTCTACCATCTAATATGAAAAGTGTCCTGAATCTGAGAAAGATCAGACTAATCTCTCCTGATACTCCTAAGACACTTGCTTGTTTGGGGCAGGTGGAATCCTTTCGTTTTCCACAACTTCAGCCCATATGAATTACCTTCTGAGACATCACAACACACTTTGTTTTAATGAGAGTTTGGGGGCTTTTCTTCTATCAGTGAGAATAGACTGGTTCTCACTTGGCTTCCCTTCATCTTTTCACTTATTCTCTCGGAAGCTGACTGCCACCTCATAAAACAGAATGAAGCTATTATGGGCTCTTTAATCATCTGTCGCATTGAATCCTTCTGCAGACCCATGGTTACAGAGAGCACTGTTGCACTGGACTTGAACTCGCCTGATCCCTCTTTTCCCTTAAAATTCTCTGTGGTTTTGCCTGGAATGCCACTAACTTGCTTGGAAATGTGTAAGGTCACTGTCATAAAATACTGGAATCTCCTCCAAGAATGTCCTGGACTGGCCAGGGTTCATAGACACTCTGGGGACAGTATATGGCAGCATGGGCTGGGGCCCTCTCTGGCATTCAGGGCTGGTCTTACAAGAGACAGCACCAGCTCATGGCACCAGCCACTTGTCAAATTCCAGACTCCCTGTGTTGTTTCTGGTATGAGGTAACTCTAAATTGTTTTCCGATAGAAAGATGCAATATCAGACATTATCCTAACTTCTGTGATAAATTTATAGGAGATGAATTCTCTCCCAAGGTTAGTGAGGAATCATGAAAAAAAGGGGGAGAGAGATTTTTTTGATCCTGGATTGCAGGAATTTTGGTGGTAGCAACACCTCAATCCCAAGTTCCAATTGTATCCATCTATCAGATACTATAAATTCCTATTTCCCTCACTAGGGCTGCTAATAGTAACCAACAGAGTAAAGACAGCTGAAATCAGACACAACTTTGTGTGTTTCTCTACATTTATAACCCCAGAAAGTCTGCCGATCAAACCAGTTTCTTCTCTCCATTGGTCCAGACATACTGTTGGTTACTTTCACTTGCCAGGCATTATTTCACATTACTTTCTGTCATTTATTTGGCTTAAAAAAACAAATGAGTCTTGGGCTTCCTTGCTCCCATGTTAATTGGAAGAGCATTCCTTCAGGCCTTACAGCCACATACTGCATTGAAAGACAAAGTTAGTAGACTTGATACACTTTCTCTCACCCATCAAAGACACTCAAATGGACATCAGCCAAATCATAGCATGTGGCAACAATGGAAAGGAAAAGAACAAAAAGAAAGATCTCCAACAAAGGGCACCTCCTGTAATGGTGTTATGTCAACCCACAGAGCCCCAGAGGAATTCTAGAAGGATTAGCAATCTGACATGGGACAGAAAGCTCATGTGTCCTATACTGGATGAAGCATGTTTGATTGTGACTAATAACTCTGGAAAGCAACATGGCCTGAGAATGGCTCATGATTGTGGGAAAACTATCCCATGTTCCCTGCCAAGGTCACTGAGGGGCTGGACTAGCTGCCATATAATTTAGACTTGTAGAAGGAACTCATCCAGTGTGCCACCTGCCCTTAACTACTCTAAATTTAGTTGATTTCTTTTCTTCTTCTCTTTTTTTCCTGTCAGCAGCCATCGCTGGCTTTCTCTTGTCTCTAGCTTTTAACTGATTTCCCAGTTGCTTCCCCAGGCCAAAAAGAACATACTCCTGGAGCTGGTTTTTTCTCAGTGTAAGCAGAGTTATTTCAAGGCCCAAGAGAAAAGCAAGAAAAGGCATTTTTCCCTCTGCCCCCCTCATACCCCTCACTCCAATATATAATTTGCGTGGGGGGAGGGGGCAATGCTCTTGAGTTTGAAACAGCAGGCTCTTCACACTGAGAGTGATAAGCTCCAGGAACACTGGATCCACAGTCTGTTTTCCTAGTTCCAACTACTAATGACTCTGGCACACACAGGAGTGAGTGGAAAACTTTCAGAAGCCACAATCCAAACATTTTGGGTAGGAGTAATAATTGAGTCTCCAATTGTTTTGTAGCACCACAGGCTGGAGATTAATTTGTATTGTGACGTCTGAGCTGGAGGAACTGGGGGGGGCAGGTACGCTGAGGGAATACACATGCGCCTGCTGTTTATAGCATCTGCACTACCTAGAAAACAGGCTTTGCTATTCAAAAATGAAACTTAAATGACCCCCTTACACTTTCTTCTCTGTCTGGACATTCCCAACACCCTGGGAAATTCAAAATTTATATTTTGTGGATTTGCACAGAGGGTTTTTTTTTTATTGAAGTCACCAACTCTTTCACCAAATGTTTGATTTCATTTTTCCTTGCCGTCTTGAATTATGTTCTGGATCACAAATTTCTAACTCCTCCACAGTTTTCATGATTTAAGAGTGCCTGTACTTGTACGCCTCCTGTTGGAACTACTCTCTCCCCTTACCCTTCACTTGTCTACTTTTGCGTGTATCCAGATGGAACTTCTTGATGGAAGAAACTCAAACACCTTTGTGATCCCTAGGGCTTAGACCAGTGTCTGCTGCTCAGAGAAGGTGCCTACTAATAGCTGAAGGGACAAACAGGTACTCCCTTGTCACCTCGTACTGTTGTCTCAGCACTCCTTTAGAATGATTTACCTCTGTGTCCAGCTCTCTTGCTACTTTATCAGCAGCTGTAGGGTAGAATCCTGGGTCTAGTTTACTTTTGTGTGTAAAGGTTTTGAGTGCTCAGTATAGGTTTTGAGTCTGTTTAACAAATACATTACCCAGTTTAAGTCTCTCCCGGGCAAACTCCCACTTGCTGGCATCATAAGGGAGCCGCTCACACTGTTCATCCAGGGGAACTTCATCTGGGTCCATTATAATCGATAGGTAGTCAGTTTTTATTTCAGAAGAAGACTAAGAAATAAAGAGATCTCAAAGTCACAAAGACGGAAACAATTTTTTTTTTCCTTTTTGTCTTTTTTACTGTCCGGTAACGGGATCGCAACCCTCAGTGTTGTGCCCGTACCGGGGACCGGCAATGGAATCGCAACCCTCGGTGTTGCGCCCGCACTGCACTCAGCCAGTGAGCGGAAACCGGTCTCCACATGGGATCCGAACCCTCGGCGGGAGCACCGCCGCGCTCCCAAGTGGCGCACTCTCCAGTGCACCACCGGGCCGGCCCGGAAACAATTTTTTTAAAAAGAACCCAAACATCCAGTTTAAAACAATATTTTCTGCTACTTTGGGTCATTTGGTTGAAACTGTGTGGTCAGGTACAGAAAGTACCCCTCCACTTACATGTGCACACATCACATACATGTATGTACTCTCTGTTAAACAACTGCTTACTGTTCCCACAGTACCTTTCTATAGTACTAGTTCAAACATCATATCATGGATAAAATGCACTCAAATTCTTCAGTGACTTTATGTGTTGTGTTTATTCTTAAACAATTATATGATGATCTTTCTAAAAAATGCAAAGCATTTTTATAAAGTCATTCCAAACAGTGACTAAAAATAACTTTCCATGGTCATTCTGTGTATACATTATAGATGGGTCAACGGTAGAGTGCATTGTGGCTTTTCTATGCTTACAAGAAAGGCAAGAAGTGGCAAAGTAAACTCAAGATCCCTGGGGTAATTAATGAAAGGTACATTTCTTATGAAGTATTTAAACACTCAGAAGGACTAACCTCTTAGTTGCTTCAGCTACCTGAAGAGACTATAGGGTCTATTAGAGAGATTAGAGTAAGCTTTATCCTCAGTAAGAAATAGAAATTGATTATTTCAAAGGCCAAGAAGTAAATATGGTGTAAGACTTATACACAACCATATTTTGAGTTCATTTAGCTATTGGTAGAATGTCAAATGAGTAAGGCAGGCATCTGCCTCGAAGTGCTTGTTTTATCTTGGTAATGTAAATCAAGCCCAGAAAATACCCTTCATTTCAGATCATAGATAACCGGATTTACATTTAATGTGTTAGATTCATATCAATGGGTACATTTCCTGTTAATGGGCAAATTTCCAGAATTGATGAGTGCATTTCTGTGGGCAGACTCTTGGACAGGACAGAAAAGAAGCAAGCTTTCCATATAACTCTTGCCTAAAAGCTATGTAAACTTCATTTAAATGAGTTTTGGGGTGGTGCTTTTCCCTACACAGGATCAGAGTTGGAGTTGGGAAGACAACCTCTCTATACACACCATTTCACACCCACCCACATTCTTCAGCCCTTCTGACCCTGGTCTGGGCTGTCAGAGCTCACCTCATCCATCACTTGCAATCGCTTTCCTTCTCACAGAAATTATCACTAAAATGTGTGACAAATAGCTCAAGCCAGAAAGATTTGCCTGGCCTCCATAAGGAGAGGAAACAAAGATATGAAGCACATTTGTCACAAGCCGCATTTACCACTAGTGTTAGAGTATAAGGGACCAGACTGTCAGACACTCATATGAATCTGTAAGACTGTAGAAGAGTATACATTTCTTTTTTTTTTTTTTTCCTTTTTGTCTTTTTTCGTGTCCAGCAACGGATCGCACCCTCAGTGTCACGCCCGTACCAGACCGGGACCGGCAACAGGATCGCAACCCTCGGTGTCGCGCCCGCACCTCGCTCAGCCAGTGAGCGGGAACCGGTCTGTATGTGGGATCCGAACCCTCGGCAGGAGCGCCGCTCTGCGCTCCCAAGCGGCGCACTGTAGCAGTGCGCCACCGGGCCGGCCCCGAAGAGTATACATTTCTATACCAGGTTGCTTTCTGGGTGTTCATTAGAGAAGCTGCTGGAGTAGATTCTATTACTAAACTTTTCAATGTCCATATAGCCAAGGCCATGAGAAACAATCTCCAGTCCTCAAAGAGCATAGGACAGCTGAAATCTAGCAAGAGACATCTTGGGTTTGTGCAGGATGTGTGGGAGGTCAGCAGTAGTGTTGACAGAGGCAGGGAAATAGGCAACGGTAGACAGTCTCCCCATGTGGCACCTATGGAATTTTATGGTTTATCTCAATAAGGCAGATGAGAGGAACACCAAACATACCTTAAGTAAGGGCTTTGAGGGGAGTGTGATAGTAGAGTGTTAGCTGCCAAATATTTCTTCTTTCAATTGACATTAACACTGAGCAGCTACTAGGTGCTTGGCATGGAAGGTGAGTAGCCAAGTGCTTCAAAGCCCGGGCATTGAGGCTGACTGCCTGACTTGAATCATAGTTCAACTTCTTTTTTTTTTTTTTCCTTTTTGTCTTTTTTTACTGACCGGTAACGGGATCACAACCCTCGGTGTCGTGCCTGTACCGGGGACCGGCAACAGGATCGCAACCCTCGGTGTCGCGCCCGCACCGCGCTCAGCCAGTGAGCGGGAACCGGTCTCCACATGGGATCCGAACCCTCAGCGGGAGCACCGCCGCACTCCCAAGCGGCGCACTCTCCAGTGTGCCACCGGGCCGGCCCCATAGTTCAACTTCTGACCAGCCACATACACTCAGGCAAGTTGCTTAATCTCTCTAAGCCTAATTTCCTTATCTGTAAAATAGTGATAATAATGATACTTATCTCATAGGGCTGTTGTGAATGTAAAATGAAACAATTCATGTAAAGCTGTTAGAACAAGAGCTGGTAATATAATAAGTATTAATAAATTTTAGCTATAATTATAACACTGGCCTGGGCAAGGTGAGGCTAAAAAGATAAAATGCAGTTTTTATCAATGAGGAATGTGCACTGTGGTTAGAGAAACCACACAGAAATAGTTTTTGATGCCTTTTTCCTCTTTGCCCCACCACAACCAATCCCTTTTCAAATTTTATAGGCATTCTGGTTTTGAAATAATAATCTCTTGCTCTCATCCATTTGTATTTGCATCAAGATTTCACAGAATTGTAGAAATAGAAGGGACCTCTCCAATTTAGTCTCAACTTATCTTTCCAGTTTTATCTTCACTATGCTCCTATATGCCAAGTAACTAGATTACTTCTCCAGTCTGGGGAGTAGGAAAGGATAGGGTGGGCTGTGTTTTTCTGCTTCTTTCCTTCCAGCTACAGCCTTCAAAGTTTGTCTCAAGCATTGCTTTCTGTGAAGTTTTTTCTCCCCCTCTCCTCCTTTGAACTCCTATAGCCTTTGTACCTCCCTTACAGATTTGGCAAGTTTTGCTTTTGTTAGATGTATTTCCCCACATGATGTGTATCCCCTTTCAAAACTATTGTGTGACCTTTGTTTCCTTCTAAAGCAGTGGCCTTAATTGTCATGTCTCAAAACCAGTCACTCATATGGCAAAAGCCTGTTGTTACCATGTTTACCATAGAGGATATCTGCCAGCCGTGCTTCTCATATCAACACTTTATAGTACACTTTGTTGGTTATGAATATCAAGTCCAAGGTAAACAGCCTGGGTTCAAAACTAAGATCCAACTATAGTGACTTTGGACCAGTTACTTTCCCTCTCTCAGCCCGTTTCCTTCTCTGTAAAACAGGAAGACTACTATAACTACCTCTTTGTGGTTTTGGAAGGATTAACTGAGATTAACAGGATTAACTACATAAAGAGCTACCAAGTGCCTCTCTATTCACTCTTGCCCCCTCTGGTCCATTCCAACAGCAGCCAAGATAATCTTTTCAGACACATATCTGTGACATTTACCATCCCCCACCTTTTCTTAACATCCCTCCCCTGTCAAGCCTTCCCATTGCTTCTAGAATACAGACTAAATTCCTCACCATGGCCTACAAGGCCCTGCCTGGCCAGGCTTTGCAGCCTTGCCTTTCCTTTTCTTTCCTTGGCAGCCTCACCTCTTACCTTGTTCCACTGCAGCCCTATGGGCCTTCTGTCAGTCTCTCATTCTCACAGTGCTCCCCTCCCCAGCCTCAGCCTCATACGTGCTGCTTCCTCTGCCTACCACACTTTTCCCTTTCTTCTTTGCCTGACCACCCCTTTTACACATCGTTTAGTCAGTCAAGTCTCTCAGCTAAGTCAGAGTTGCAGTTTGACCTTTATCTGTGTAGTTGATTAGTTAGTCTCCTCCCTAGACTGCACACGCCGGCATTTGCCCTCTGCTGTCACCAGAGGGCCTTGCACAGGGTCTGGCACTCTACAGTGAGCAGGTGCGCAGTAAATATTTGAAGCATGAATAAATGAATGAACAAATGAATGTTAGCTCTTTCCCACTGAATTCTAAGAAGCAGGTTGCATTGCAGGCGTAGTTATAGAAACCTGATGTCCTGAATTCAAACCTGGACCTCATACCCTAAAGAACTTAATTTTATGGTAGGACTTAGAGTATGGAACAACAGTGCACTTGTTTGCATTTCCATAGTGCTGTGAGAGAGAAGTCAGAGGTGGGTCTTTATTTTGCCTTTCCTTTTTATTTCTTAGCAGAGAGTGATGTTAAAAAAATGAATACTTCATAGGTCCCATGCTAAATTTAAAGACTCTTACATATTTTTTATATCAAAAATATCCCTTGTGTTCCTGAGAAATATTCATCCACTCATTTGTTCTGGCTTTTCTTTTGAACACCCTGCTTTGTGGTTAAAGACATTTCAATGATTTATTTTTCACATTCACTAGGTCAGAGATAGGAATGAGATGAAAGAGAAAGAAGAATGTTTAGTAACTGCTCAAGACTTCAGATCAGGCACTTTAGAATATTATGTAAAAAGAAGCATAGGATTTCATCTGTATTCTTACCCTTTTCAGTTTTCGGATAAAGAGGGTTAATAGGAGCCAGAAGAGGGTTGCAGCCACACAGGTACATGTCAGAGTGATCAGCTCCAGATTAGATTTGTCTGAGGTTCCTGGAGAGAAAAAACCACCAAGATGGTGTTAAAAACAAACTCTAAAACTTAGGGACTTTGTGGTTTTATGAAAGAGGGCCAGTGCCCCTAAATGGTTCATCATAGTGAAAACAATCTGCTAGTGCAAAATTAGCCTCTGAGACAGATCCTCTCTAACCTTCTGAGTCAGGCAGGGTACACAATATTAGCGTAACGAACTCTCACATACATTAAAAGACTTTTCAGAAATTTTGCTGTTGAGTTTGCAAACTTTGTAATCCCAGAGATAGCTAATTAAAAATCAGAGAGAAATTAAAAATGAGAAAAAATTAAGGCAGGAACAAAAGCCCATTCAAGTACTAAATCTGGAATATGTTAAATCTCCCTAATGTGTTTTAGAGGAAATTCTAAAGAAAAAGAAAAAAAAAAGGTAGAAAAGGGTTCCTTTGGGACTCACAACATCCTTCAAAGTAGATTTTGTTCGGATCCCACATACAGACCGGTTCCCGCTCACTGGCTGAGCGAGGCGCGGGGGCAACACCAAGGGGTGCGATCCCGTTGCCGGTCCCGGTCCGGTGCGGGGGCGACACTGAGGGTTGCGGTCCGTTGCCAGACACAGAAAAAAGACCAAAAAAAAAAAAAAAAAAAGGGAGAAAAGGGTTCCTTTGGGACCCCAAACATCCTTCAAAGGAGATTTTTTTTTTTTTTTTTGGTCTTTTTTCTGTGTCTGGCAACGGACCGCAACCCTCAGTGTCGCCCCCGCACCGGACCGGGACCGGCAACGGGATCGCACCCCTTGGTGTTGCCCCCGCGCCTCGCTCAGCCAGTGAGCGGGAACCGGTCTGTATGTGGGATCCGAACCCTCGGGCGGGAGCGCCGCCGTGCTTCCCAAGCGGCGCACTATCCAGTGCGCCACCGGGCCGGCCCCCAAAGTAGATTTTAAAAATAAAAATAAAACTCAAGGACTGTCACAGTTGCCAGCTTGCTCCTTTTTGAAAAGCCAGGCCAAACCACCTACATCCCACTCCCTGAATCTAGGGCTCTGTTTCTAACCTCTGTGGCAGCCAGCTTGCAGGGCTGAGATGAGAGGAGGTAACTGCTGGAACTGGATACTTCCCAGTCATCTCATTTCTCAGAAACATAGATATCAAAATGTGAGCACTATTCCCCCAAGACCAAAAAGAAAAGATCCAGAGTATTCATGTGATGCCTTTAGAGAGGGAGCTCTTTGGAATTTGTAAAAGAATGCCCCATTGGAACAGAAGATTGGTTCCCTAAGTTTTGATTCCAGTGGACAATTTCCCAGGAATTCTAAAGTAATGCCCTTATCCTTTAACTTCATTAAAACGAGACAGAGGAGGTCTTATGTTTTTAAGGTAGGCAAAGAACAAGTGAGAGCCAAGCACTTACAACCACCCTATGAAGTAGATGGCAGTAATATCCCAGTTTCATAGATGAGCACTTCATCTTATGGGCTCTTTGTTTCAATTCAGCAAAGATATATTGAGGCCTACTACAGACAAGGTTAGAGGCTGGAGGAAATAACATGAGTAAGGGAGAGTTGCCACTCAAGGAGCCCATTCAAACCTGACCAAGAGACTTAAAGAAGAAGAAGAAAAAAAGGGTTTTTGGAAGAAGTAACATTTGAAATGGATTTTGATCTGCAGAGATGAAGACAGGGGAGGATATTACAGGCAGAGGGAATAGTACAAGTAGAGACCCAGACCTGGGAAATGACAGGGCAATGATGGCAGCGTGATGCGAGATATAGGACAGGACCAGACCATAGAGGATTCTGAGTATATGCATGATGGGTTTGCACTAAATGGTGCAGGTAGTTGGAACCAGTGAAGTTTCCCTGCCCTGAATCACAGCAAATACACAAGCTGGAAACCTGAGAATCACAACAACAGTAATACTCACTGGTACTTATTGAGGGCTTTCTATTCTAAGGACTTTCCTAAGGTCTGACATGTATTAATTCACCCAAGACTAACAACAGCCCTGTGAGCTCGATTATTTTCATTTTATGAATGAAGACATTGAGACATGGAGAGATTAAGCCTCTTGCCCAATGTCACAACCTGCAAGTAGTGGAGCTGTGGTTTTAATGCAGAATCTGACTCCACATGCTTATTGCTAATCTTCCAAGCGTATGCCACTTCTTCCTTCTCTCTTGTCCTTTCAGCCTTTAGAAGTGCATATTAATCACTTCCTATAGGTCATAGTCCCTGCCACAAATTATTTTTTAGTCTAGAGAGAAAACTGACATTTCCTTTCCATCTAGTCTCTCACAAAGTTCTGCACATTCTGCTTCCGTGGCTCATGAAATTGTCACCTCTTCTCTACCCCACTGTCACGGCCTAAAGTAAGGTCTCATCAGTTCCCACCTAGACCACTGCATTAGCCTCCTACCCAGCCTTGACTCACTCTAGTCTCTCCTCCACCTCTGCAGCCAGAGTGACCTTGCCAAATCACAAATTTAATCCTATTACTCCTCTGTCTAAATTCCATCGTTTTCTCCCTATCACGATTGGGATAAAAGTCCAAATCCTTAGTCCTTTATGCCCAACCTTTCCTGTCTCTTCAGCTTCATCTCTTACTGTCCTCCTTCTTGTTCCAGTCACATCAAAATACTTACAGTTTCTTAAATACACCAGCTATTCTGCACCTCCATTCTCTGGCTTTTGTTATATCTCTACCAAAATGTGAGCTTCCTGGGTACAGAGGCCACATCTTATTTATCCCACTTATCAGATTAGGTGAATGAATGTATAAATTATGTTTTGATTTACTTGTCTCCAAGAGTTTCATGAGGGTTTCAAAGAGTTCAGGGTCAAATCCCTGTTCCTGTGTATTATCCAACAAACATGGACCATCTCCTACATCTCAGATCTGTTCTAGGTGCTGGTATACAGTGGTAAGAGAAAGGGCATGGTTGGAGCTCACAGTCTGATATTCAGATCTGAGGTGATAACTGTGTTGAAAAGTCTGAGTGAAGAGGCCGGCCCGGTGGTGCACTGCTACAGTGCACCACTTGGGAGTGCGGTGGCGCTCCCGCCGAGGGTTCGGATCCCACATACAGACCGGTTCCCGCTCACTGGCTGAGCGAGGTGCGGGAGCAACACTGAGGGTTGCGATCCGTTGCCGGACACGGAAAAAGACAAAAAGGAAAAAAAAAAAAAGAAAATTCTGAGTGAAGCAGCAGAATGTAGCATTATGGTTCTCTTTTTCACTGCTACATCCCTAGTGTTTAGAAGAGTGAGTACCTGGCACATAGTAGAAATGGTGGATGAATGAATGAATTGATTTGGCTTTATTTGCTGCTGTGTCAGCTTGTGGTTAAACTTCCTTGAACCTCATGAGATTGATTGAGAACAACCTCCTTAAAGAAGTTCAAAGTACGATAGGCTTTTCTCTCAGTACACATCCTCACAATGGGAATACTGCAAGCTCAAACTCGTGAGCTGGGATAATTGATTTGGCTTTATTTGCTGCTGTGTCAGCTTGTGGTTAAACTTCCTTGAACCTCATGAGATTGATTGAGAACAACCTCCTTAAAGAAGTTCAAAGTACGATAGGCTTTTCTCTCAGTACACATCCTCACAATGGGAATACTGCAAGCTCACACACACACACACACACATCTTCCCCCACAGTGTGAGGTCTAATGCTGCCTTGCTCTGTACACACACACACACAACCTTGCTTCGGAGATGAATCTCGAGACATAATACTACTGTCTGCATAAAACTTCTGCAGTTGCTTCCCACATGGAAGAGGCCCCTCTGCTTGTGAGATGTTTCCCACTGCATTCCGTGGGGCAGGAAGCTGACCCACAAAGTCTAATTCCGTAGTCCTTACTCAAGCAAAATTCCTTTCAGTGGAACCAAATGTGTTTATGTGCAAACCCTAACACATTGAAGGAATTAACTCATTAAAAAAATCTTTAAGATGAACATTTATTAGGAAGGAAAGACCTATTTAATATTAATATTCTGTACTGCTTACTGAAAAACAAAATTAGAACTCGATAGTATATGATATAATATCTATATTCTATCCCATTTAATAGCTCAATCTCTATTTGAAATACAACTGTTAGGACAGTCTTATGCTGGATAGACTGATTAAGCAAGCCCTGAGGTGTTTTCTCAGTGGTCAAACATCCACACACTGGCCAGACTAGACCCAGCTTCAACTTGCTGGTGACAGCTGGTAAGCTCAGTGCATGAAATAGCCCAGCTGCACATGGCAGGGGGAAGGATGCCAGCAGAAATGTGAGTGGGATTTGACAATAAGTAGGAGGTAGCACTGGTTCTCAGGGATGTCACTCCCATATGATGTGTGTGAAATGCCAGCATCAATACAAGGTTATTTTTATTTGGGATACTGACAAGACAAGAATATGGCCAATTTGAAGAGTGTATGCTAATTATACTTTTATTACAGAATGCTGACCCTGTTGCATGGAGCGTTCCATGTCAATTACTCTCCCAGGCTTCATACCATCCCTCTTGGAATAGTAAGGGCAGGTGCCACACAAGGGATGGACTGCATTCTGAAGGGTGATGTGCCTTGTCTAGAGTCTCTGAAGCTGCACAGTGTCCTGAGTCTTTTTGATGGCAATGGCCGCTCTCTGTGCACACGACCTGGGCTACATGGTCTGGCAGCATCACCCTGACACATGGCACCGTGTGGCATCAGACTGCTTGAATTGACAGGTGGCAGAGCCAGTCAGTTCAGCTCATGCAGTATAGCCAGATAGAGTTTCCCAAGAGCTAAGGAAGCACCCCAAGCAAAAAGCTGGGGCACCTCCTGGCCCAGGGCCTGCTGGACTTTGAGTACGAGTTTCATCAAGAAAGGGCAAGAAGCCTTTATGGGATCTATGAGCAACTGTGCTGTAGACCAAGGACTCTGCCCCACTTTCCTCATCCTTAAAAAGTAGAGATGATACCAGCCCCTATTTCATAAGTGAAATGTGTAAGCCTAGTGTTGGCTATTATTTTGAAGGCTTTCTTTCTCTCTCTTCATTTGCCCTCCCTCCTGACTAACCCCTCCCCCACCCTTTCTTTTCTTTCTTTCTTTTCTTTTTTTCCTTATCACTTTTTTTTTTTCCCTTTTTGTCTTTTTTCATGTCTGGCAACGGATCGCAACCCTCAGTGTCGCGCCCGTACCGGACCGGGACCGGCAACGGGATCGCAACCCTCGGTGTCGCGCCCGCACCTCGCTTAGCCAGTGAGTGGGAACCGATCTGTATGTGGGATCCGAACCCTCGGCGGGAGCGCCTCCGCGCTCCCAAGCAGCGCACTGTAGCAGTGCGCCACCAGGCCAGCCCTCCTTATCACTTTTTGGACTTCAACTGTGGGATAATTTTTTTTTCATCCATGTACCCATTATTTTCTGCCGACAGTTGAGCTACCACCTTCCCTGAGAAATTTGCCTAGCATTGCATGCATTGCCTGGTGGTTTAGATGTTATTCTCTGGTTCTATTGTTATTTTAATTTAGGGTAACTATTTATGTGGGTTTATTGCCCACTAAACTACTAGGATCTCAAGAGAAGTATATATTTCTTGTTTATCTTGCGTCTCCAACACTGGCCCAGAGGAGGTCTCAATAAAGATTTATGTATGGATGAAAAGAAAATTAAATCAGATCGACTTAGACCTAAACCCTCCAGATTCCTGACCAATATGAGCTAATGAAACAGGGCCACCTCCTTCTGTCTAAAACCCAGTAACCAGTAATCCAATTAACCGTATTATGAGGTTTCTCTAAAGCCTATTGAAATATTAAAATTGGTCTGCAGAACTCTGTTACTGTTTATGAAACTTTTAGGAATCTATGTACACCAATTTGAAACTACTCTTAAGGATAGTGATGTATGGAAATACTGTATTCAGATTAAAGTTGAAGTACATTTTCAAGAGTCATTTTGAGTAAAGATATTTAAAATTGCTATTATGTGACATTAGTTCTGTAACACATTTATATAAAAAGTTAATTCCTAAAGTCAAACAGGAATTCTGTGGTTTGGAACACCATTTGGGTGACTCACTGCTTAAATCCAGGAAAAGTATAATACAGAAAGTTTTGTTGAAATGGAATTTGGTATATCATATTAACAAAAGGTAACGTTAGCTAATACTTACAAAGTTTTTATTATATGCCAGAGACTGTTTTAAATGTATTAATCCTTACAACAACCGTATAAGGATTGGTAAACCATTAACATCTTCACTTTTCACTGAAGCACCAGGAAGTTAAGTAACTTGCCAAAGGTTATTAACAAGCTGGTGAGCAGTGAGATGACTTCAGAGTGGGTCCTTAATCATCACATTCTGCTGCCTTAGAATTGACACACAATAGAGCAGAATGGTAAACATAGTTCTAATTCTCAGCTCTGCCAATTCCTAGCTGTGTAGGACAAATCATTTATTTAACCTTTCTGTGCATACATTCTCACTTTTAAATAACTGCACTTCCTCATAGGATTGCTGCAAAAATTAAGTAGGATAATGCATATTTGGTAAGATATAATTACATAGTCCCAGGTCTTCACAGAACCTAGCACCAAGTTCATTAAGCCTAACACCACTTCTATGATACCCTATGCAGTTTCATGCCAGCCTAGTTTCCACAGGAGGAATTAAGATGAATATTTTTTTTTACTTTGAATTATTTTGTCTCGAGAATTATCTACAAAGATCTCACATCACCCTAACTGAATTCCATTACCATTATTTGAATTCTGATCAAGGACAGATTTATGTCATGTAAAAAGGCATGTATATCCCCATCCCCCATCCCTCCTGTGTGGAACTGGTGAACAGCCAATTCATCTCTCCATTTTGAGCACTGTTCTCTCCTTGGGAAACCCTTCTAAATAGCCAACACCCAAGAGAGGAGTCACATCAGTCACCAACATATTCCATGTGAATTAGTTTATCACATCCTTCCTCAGTGCCAGGTTAGTCATGGGCGTAAATTTGGGGACAGGATTCAGGAAGAGGAGCTAAAATGGAGGGCAGTCAGGGATCAGAAGAGGGTCAAAAAGAACTAAAAACTGAAAGCTGGCTAAGGGTGATAAAAAGAAGTGGCTGGGGACCCAAGTTTTGAGCTTTTTCTATTCTTGACTCTTGTAATTTAATTATTAGAGAACATAGTGTATACTTCCTACTGTACATATGAGTCCTTTCTCAAATAATTGTAACGTGCAATTATTGTGGCACAAACTTTGCAAATCACACCTATAATGCCATGTTGAATATTTAGACTCCAGGACTCTGAGGCATTCTTTTTGAGCCTTCCCTGACTTTTGTATTCATCAGTCATCTTCAGAAAATGTTTAATATGGTAGTTGTTCTTCTTCAAGTTGTTTTCTCCTTTGTAATTATAAATGCTATTGAACTATAGTGAGGTCTAAATCTATTACAAGGATGTTCTTGTATATATTGTGGTTATTACTTGCAATAATAATTATGAAGTATTGCTTATCTTAAGTCCTTGGATGAAAATGTGCCACACTTTGACTGTAACAGGTCCTGTGAGTTCCATGGGTTATTGAGTGGCATGTTAATTTCAGGAATGATTTTGGTTACTAACAGTTTTGTTGTTGGTTCTGATATTGGAACTTCCCCTTTGAGAGCTCCATGTGTGTTCGTGCTCATGCTCTGTCCAAACCAAACAAGACCTGTGATTATTTAAAGAAGCTACTTTGACTCCCCAGTCCATTCATCCTTTTCAGATACAAAAATAACACATTGTTTTATCTATGAGTATAAGAATCCTTTTTCAAAGGAAATAAAAAAAGCAGACAGTTTCCTTCCTGGCTAATTCATGAGCCTCTTTAAACCTGTTAAACATAGCCACAGACACAACTCGTTTGCCTGGTTTCATTTCCTAAACTTGATTTGACAAGATAGGTCAGTGTGAAGAGTCCATATACATCTATAACAGGAAATCAAGTCTAAATCTAGGGACTGTTTCACAGCCACCAGGGTGATAAGAATAATGACTTAGGCTCTAGAGCAAGAATCTAATTTCAATTATGAAATTACTGAGCAGACTCTGCATTCAACTGTTCTGAATGGCATCCAAGGATCAAAGTTTTATTCAGCGAGCCCACAGTACTTCAGTTCAAGAAACACCATCTCACTCACACATGCAGGCTTTCCTAAGATCTATATAATATCATGCTAGGGCTTCTTCCAGCCATTGCTGACCTGTGTTCCCAGTACAGAAGAGTGGGAGCAGGTACATGGCGAGAAAAGGCAGCCATGGGGTAGGTTGAGGTGAGTTCACAGAGTCCAGTTTTCACCTCAGGTCTGCCATTACCTGACTGTATGATTTAGGTTAATCATTTCAGACCTCTCTGGAGGTTCATAATAGCTGTTCTATGTATTTTAAGAGGTTGTTGAGAGGATATGGGGGAAAATACCATCTGCTCTGAGAACTGGGGAGGCCTCTGCTTTCTGCTCTCCCTGGCCTGATGCAGCTACTCCCTGAGGGCTACATCTTGGAGTCCTTGCTAAGAGACAAATTAGCAACCATTTGAGGAAGAAGGTGTTAGAGATGCACACTCAATAGACAGTTTTCTCCATGTGTGAGCAGAAGAGTCAAAGAATATTTTAAAACAGGGTTTATTTGGGAGACAAACAGGACCATTAATAAAGGTATTCAGCGAATGCTACCCTCTCACTTTTTCTGCAAGTATAAGTTTGTGGTAGTTTCAGACTTTCAGGAGACTCTAAAATCACCTCCTTGTGAAAGCCTGAAGATAATGTCCTATTTTAAATGAGTCTGAATTCTGAGAGTTACAATCTTTAAGTAATGTAAGTTCCCAGGACAAGAGAACTGAAGTACATCGACTTCTTCCTAGTTCCTCACCCAGAAATACTTGCATATGCTGAAGTCTGCTGGTGAGCATTTGGAAATAGGCTACTGAACAAGTTCCATCTTTCCATGTAAAATCTCATTATGCTGTAGATATTTACATGTAAGAGGTGCCTATTTGATAGCTATGATGCTGTAAACTTAATGTTTTGGATGATTCTTCGTATTAGAGAATTGAAATTGAGGTCTAAACTATTTTTTAAATGGAAGCCACATGGCCATAGCCAGAGCAGGATTAGGCCTCTTTGTATTTTGCTGCTCAACAAGCTTTCTGAGGCCTGTAAAGAGGAAGCACTTGGAATATTTTTCTTAAAGTGGTCTGTTTATATGTTGCTTCTCTCTGATAATATTTTGCAGCCTACTTCATTTTAAAAACCAGCTTATGAAAACATTTGGAATAGAAGCATATAGTCTAACTACTGGGAATTGGAAAAGGAAAACAAATGAACAATGTCAAGTGTGTGGGTTCCCCCCACACACCCCTTTCTTCCTTCTCAGACTTATTTCTCACAGGTATGGACCACTCCGGCCATTCTCTGTGGGTCAATGTAATCACACTGTCAGCAGCTGGGTTTCCTTTCTTCCGGGAACTACTCCCCCTGTGGAGACTATGTTCAGATCGCAGGCTCTCAGGGACAGCCAGCCAGTGTTTTCACCTTCTTCCTTCCCAGACAGACAAGACAGTCCCTCCCAGGAGGGTGGGGAGAGGGGAGAAGGAGGTCAGGAAAGGAACAGACTGGAGCAGGCAGCAGGAGACTGGATGGTGGGAAGTTAAACAAACAGGGAAATAGATGTCTGAACAGTTTCTTGTTGCTTTCTTCAGTAGCTGTTTACCTTGCACAGTGAGGTATGCTGAACTTTCCACAGAGCCCTTCTGGTTGGTGGCTTTGCAGTGATAGATGCCTTCATCCTCTTCTGTGACTCTTTCAATAAACAGTGTGCTGCTTCCTGGTCCTAAAATAATTCCTGGGGAGTGAGAGATGTTTAGATTAGTGGGCCTGGATGACAAACAAAAACAGCTACTTCTGCAACACAACTTTCTTCCTATCACTGTGCATTCAGACAAGGAAATCTGAGCTCTGGTTAACCTGGGGCAGGGCTGCTTATTTGTTTTCTCAGTCCAGGCTTTCTGATAGTACCGTCAGTACCCAGCAGATCCCCAGCTCTGGAGATGCAGATTCACTCATGGCATAGGAAGAAAGGAGAGAGAGCTGCCATACCCAACTTTAAAGTTGCAGATATCAAGAAGGTAGCATATCTAATAGTAACAAGTACCATTTACTTAATGCCCACTACATGCTAGGCAGTATGCAGCACATCATTCATACCTTAACATTTACAACCACCCTGTAAGGTATTATTGTCTCCCTTTTGCGAATGAGGAAACTGAGATTCGTAAGATAAATAACTTGACCAAGAGCGTGCAGTTTGACCGAAAGCAAATTTATGGCATATTGATAGAGGGAAATCACGTTTCAGTTGTCATGTAGCCTGATGAGGCCATACAGCACAACGGTAAAGAGCTTGGGCTGTGTTTTAATCCACGCCTTAGCACTTCAAGTTTTGTCACTTTAGGCAAGTTACTTAACTTTGCTAAGTTTCGGTTTCTTCAGTGTTAAGATAAAAATGAAAGCAGTTCTTACTCTATTAATGAGAAAATGAATGGCAAGTGTATGGCATATAGTTTAAGTGTTCAGCAAAAATAAGCTTAAGTATTACTACAGAGCATGGTGTAATGGAAGGAGCACCATGAATTTTCAGACCTACTAGCTTCAACACCTAGTACTATCATCAAGTATTTATTGAGTATTCTGCTGTCAGTCTGTGTAAGATACTTTGCGGGTCAGACTAAGACATAGTATCTGCTGAAGAAGAAAAATTAATTTATACCAAACACACAGGTATAAATTCTCTCTCTCTGTATGTCACACTCACACACACACACATAAACCAACAAACAGAACATGTTTAATGAATGAGAATGAAGAAATGTAGCATAATATACCCAATTAAGTTCAAAGTCTGGCAGAGGGAGGGAGACAGTAAGGAAGGGCGTCCTCAGGGAAGGCTGCACAGAAGAGATGGCCCTTGAGCTGGGGTTTGAAGGATTATCAGAGGTAAGTGAGAAAGGAAGGTAAAAGAATGAAATGAGTGTGTTGAGTACATGTTCTGAAGTAGTGATAGAATGGGCCTGACCAGACTATAGGCTATATTTTCTTAGTTTAAACTGATTAGAAAAGATATACTCAATATAGAACATTTGAGAAATACCTAAAAACATTTTTAAAAATTATGGGCCGGCCCGGTGGTGCACTGGAGAGTGCACCGCTTGGGAGTGCGGTGGCGCTCCCGCCGAGGGTTCAGATCCCATGTGGAGACCGGTTCCCGTTCACTGGCTGAGCGCGGGGCGGGCGCAACACCGAGGGTTGCAATCCCGTTGCCGGTCCCCAAGGGCTGTGATCCCGTTACCGGTCAGTAAAAAAATACGAAAAGGAAAAAAAAAAAAAAAAATTAAAAAAAAACCAAAAAAACTGGGGCCGGCCCAGTGGCGCACTGCTACAGTGCGCCGCTTGGGAAGCGCGGCAGCGCTCCTGCCGAGGGTTCGGATCCCACATACAGACCGGCCGCTCACTGGCTGAGCAAGGAGCGGGGGCAACACCGAGGGTTGCGATCCCGTTGCCGGTCCCGGTCCGGTATGGGCACGACACTGAGGGTTGCGATCCATTGCCGGTCACGAAAAAAGACAAAAACAAAACAAAACAAAACAAAAAAACCCCAAACACCTGTAGTCTCATCTCCCAGATGTTCCTTTAGTCTCTTTTAAGTAAACTTTTTTTTTTTTAAACAGTGTTCATTCATATAACAAATCTTTTTGAACTCCTACTGTGTTCTAGACATTATACTAGATGCTGGTACTACCATAATAAGCAAGGCAAATAAAATCCTTGCCTACAAAGGGCTTATATTCTAGTTTTGGAGAATTGCAAATAAATAATGTAATTTCAAGTAGCAATAAAGTCTGTAAAGAAAATAAACCAAGTTAAGGGGATCATGAGTTAAGGAGGGTGAGGAGGCTATTTTAGATTGGGTGTTTAGGGAAGACTCTGTGAGGAGAATCTTTGAGCAGAGACATGAAAGATGGGAAGAAATAAGCCATTTGAAGATCTGGGGCCTTTTAAGTATAGGGAATAACAAATATAAAGTTTCTGGGGAAGGAATGAGCTTATTTAAGAAACAGCAAAAAGACCATTGTGGCTAGAACACTGTAAACAAGCAGAAGAGATGAGAGCTAGGTAGGGCCCAGATCATGTGTGACCCCATAGGCCATGGTGGGGATTTAGGGTTCTGCTCTAAGTGCAGTAGGAAGCCACTGGAGGGTTATAAGACTATATGAGAACAGGGGTGGAAACAGGGAGAGCAGGTGGTGGCAAGTGAAGTTGCTCAGGAAAAGATATGGTAGCTTGGACTGGAGTGACTATGTTGGAACTGGTAAGAATTGGTGGCTTTGGGGATTTTTCTGAAGGCAGAACCAATCGGCGTGCTTATGGGTTAGCCTGCAATATGTGAGAAGGGTAAAAGGTTGACTTCAATGTTCATGGTTTGAATAAGTGGGAGGACGGTGGTACCTTTCCTGAGGTGGAGAAGATCGTGGGAGCACATGTTTGAGGGAGAAAAATCAAGCATCCTGCTCTGTTTTGCACACAGTAAGTTTGAAGTGCCTATTGTACATCCACAGGGAGCGTTCATTGGGAGCTCACGGAGGAGGTCAGGACCAGAGAAACCACATGCAGTCAGCAGATAGAAGGCGTAGAAAGCCATGGGCATGGAAACAAACCTCATGGGCACTGAGTCCAGAGAGAAGAGCAGAAGTCCAAAGGCTGAGCCATGGGAACTCGGAGTAGGAGGAGGAAGCAGCCACAGAGTCAGAAGAGGAGTGGCCAAGGAGGTGGTAAGAAAACCAAGAGAGTATGGTTCCTAGCACCCGAGGAAGGAGTTTCACAAAGGAGAGAACAATCAGCTTTGTTCAGTGCTGCTGAGAGACTAAGATGAAGGGAGATAACTGACCACTGGGTTTGACAATGAGCCATTTCAGGAAGTGTGGGAGCAAAATCTGATTAATGTCACAGAAAGAGAGAACAGGAGGTAAACAAGTGGAGATGGTGAGGATGTTTCCTTTCAAGGAGGTAGCTGTCTGTAGAATAGCATGAGGTGGAGAAAGGAATTCTTTCTCTAAATGTGAAATTTTACAGCATGAGTCTGTGCTGATAGAAATAATCAGGGAGGGAGAAGTAGAAAGAGAGGGAAGCAGAAGGGAGAGAAACAGATGGTACAGGGGCCAGAAGGAATAATGCCAAAATCAGAGTTCCTGAAGAAGTGAGGGGGACCGAATCCAGTGGCCAAGTTGGCCTTGAGTAGGAGCAGAGGCGTTTTAATAGGAAGGATAACAGAGTATAAAGGGATGGGTAGATTAGACAATTTGGTGATACATTTTCTGAATAAATAGGAGGTGATTATCTATTTAAATTGAGGAAGAGGAGGGAATTTTGGAGGTTTGAAGAGAGAAAAAAAGGTGTTAGTGTTAGTTGAAGAGAGGGAAAAAAGGGAAGTAGTATTTTGGGAGAGAAGGAAAACAAAATTACTAGTGTACAGTTTTTTTCTAATGATCATACAACTTTAAATACCACCTCCCCCCCCAATACCACAACATAAATATTCTCCCATGTTCTTATATACTTTTAATATAATTGCCCATTATATATAAGTATCATAATTTAACTATTCACCTATTGATTGGCATTAGTTATATCTAATTGTTCATAACTATAAATAACAGTGCAATTAACATCTTTAGGCATAAAGATTTTTCTGTATTAGAGATTGATTTTTTAGGATAGATTCCCAGAAACAGAGTTTTTACATCAAAAGCTCTTGATTCATATAACCAAAATTACATTCCAAGTTCAGATTAAGGAGAGCTTTGGAATCTTGGTTTTGGAGTTTTGACTCAATGCAGAAGGAAAGAGAGAGTCACAAGGATTTCTGAGCAGGGAAACAACATACTGAAAGCAATGTTTAAGGAAGTTTATGTCTAGAAAGAGAATGCAAGGTGAAACGGAATGAGCAAAAGTGGCATCTGAATCCAGTTGTAATTCAGGCAAGGAATGATGAGGCCTCAAACCCAGATGGTGGGAAAGGAAGTAGAGAGGAAGAAATGGAAACAGACATTTTGTAGAAACAACCTACAGGAATTGGTACTTTATTGTATCCAGGAATAGAGAGAGATGAATCCAAGGTGATTCTAATATTTTAAGCCCAGATAACAGGAAGAAAGAGTTCTCCCCTATAACCTTGGCTAAGTCATTTCATCTCTTTGGGGCTGTTTCCCCATCTGTGAAATGAGAATAATACCTGCTCTGCCTATTTCATGGTATTGCTAGGATGGTCAATTGAGATAATTTAAGTATATGCTTTTGAAGCTTTGAAAAGTGTAAGCTACGGTATACGTGGCAATCACAGAAAATTCAAGTATGGCTGGATAGTGATTGGTCAGGGTCGATGAACATTTATAACAGCAGCTATCTTGCTACCTACAGTCATCTCTTTTGCAGCAGATCTGAACTTCAGTCAATTTTCTATGTCTCATATGCCAATTTAAGGCTAATACCATGAACAAATAAAAGTCAAATGACTTGGATTTCTCCCAAGGAAACATGTGCAATTAGGGAAGGTGAAAGTATAGTACCACAGATGCTGATGAGTGAATCTCATCTGGCACAGATTCCTCTTTCCATGTGTGGAGGAGAGGAAATGGGGTGAAAGGATGTCGTCAATTTTCTATGTCTCATATGCCAATTTAAGGCTAATACCATGAACAAATAAAAGTCAAAGGACTTGGATTTCTCCCAAGGAAACATGTGCAATTAGGGAAGGTGAAAGTATAGTACCACAGATGCTGATGAGTGAAC